TGTTATTGTTGTTTTGTTTTGTTTATTTTCCCTTTTCCCCTTTAGGCTGGGTCGGCTCTGTTTGGAGACAGTATAGGCTAAATACATGTGGACCTCCAGTCCCTCAGCTCCTGGGCTAGGGAAGTCTGGAGGTTCGGCCTCGGCCCAAGCCTGTTTGACTAAGAGTTACAGATGCTTATCTTGCCCTGGAAAGTCGCTGCCGGAAGAGGAGGGCGTTTTTGCCGTGGACGGGCAGGGGCACTCAGCCGAGTCTTCTTGGCTCTGGTCTCTGGCTGGCGACCTCAAGAGTTCTCTCAAGCAGAGGAGCACGGAAGCACCCCTTTGTAGAGACTGCTCTCTCAGCTCTCTTTTCCGCTCACTCACTCCCACAAACAAGCCATTCCTGGAGCAGTCCGAATTTCCAGGACGGCCATATGTAATTTAAGGACCCTTACCAGGACAGGGTGAACACTGAGGGCTGGGGAGCACCACTTCTGATGCCTAAGGTGGGTCTGGGAGAAATCCTGGTCACTATTGTTGCAGCAGGCTTCGCCCCCTCCCTGTCCTTTAATTTTTTTTTTTTTCAGTCCCGAAGTGGGCCTGAGCAACTCGATCTGATGTACAGTTGCTTTTGGGTTATTGCATATCTGGAAAAGTAAACAGGAGTGTTCAAGTCACTTGATTTGTTTTCAGTAAGCAAATAATACCCCAAAGCATGGCTGTAATTTACCACGAATTAAAATTGATTCTTTTCATCAGGCAAGAAAATAGGAAAATGTGAGATCGTTAATTATTGAGGGAGGCGCTTCTCATTAAAGGGAACAATGTTACAATTCAGCATCTAATAGCAGGAATGTGAATAATAACGCGCCATATTTCAGCCCACTGTCTACACAGAAAAGAGCCGTTTACAAACAACGCAAGCAGCTGAAAGTTACATTTAATAAACACCCGAGATTTCTGTAAGTGGAAAAAGCAATTAGGGCTCTGGGCACACTACCCAATTCTTCCTGGAGCACCCTCTATATATTTTTATTCTCCCTGTCTCTGTCTGTACAAAGGATTTGCAATGATAGCAAAAACACAATTAGAGAGAAAATCAGAATTTCAAACCTAATCTGCATAAATCCATCTTTTGGGCTTGTTGCCGGCTCTCCCATCCCATCCCACTTCCTATTCTACCCACACTTTATTTCTAAGTCTTGATCCAAAATTGGATGGCAAAATGTAACGTGGGCATTGTTTGTATAGCGGGTGTACTTGTAATTTACATAGCTATGTGTTTTTTGTTTGTTTGTTTGTTTTTGAAACAAACACCTCTCTCCCCAGATAGTCTTCAGACAGAGATGTCAAGTGATGCTAGATCTGGGCGCTCTTGCCTCGGGAGCCGGGAGCCAGTTCCTTGGCCTTTAAAGGCTCTTTGTGCTTCCTTAAAAAGGAGAAGGGGAGGAGGGTAGAAAGAAGAAAAAAGATTTCCCTGTGCATCGTCCCTTGGCAGGCTCTTGTACAAAATTCAATCTCTATTTTTTATGAGAAGTAAACTGTCTAAATAAATTTTATTAGGGGCAACCAATATATTTTCTGGTAGTTCCCTTTGTTCCACTTCTACGTGTGTGTAACAATCTAAAACCTATTTATTGAGGAAAAATCACTGGATCCGTCATAGAAAATCCTTTTACTTTGCTTTGAAGTGATTTCTGAAGACATTCTTGTCATTCCGAAGATTTGGAGGCCATTGCGCTAAAGCCTCGCCTTGTTAGGGACTTCAGTTCCCATGATCATGTGGGAAATGCTTTGAATTATCAACAGCAATGGGCCTGACCGGCACTTTCCCGGCTGCCCCAGGAACGTGGGAAGATGACGGGAATAAAACTCTGGTAAATACATCTCAGGCGCTGCCCAGGTGGATTCAAGCATTGACCAAACCGAGTTGCAGAGCCGGAACCCGAGTGGGGGCGAGCATTTCACATCTAGACGCTTTGCTTCCCTGCCACGCCTGCTGGCTGCCAGCTCCGGGCTCTAGCCCCAGCTTGCTCCCTCCCCACAGCAAGGCCCCCAAGCTGCCCTCTCACCTCCTCCCACCCTTAGATTTCCCTTTTTCCTTTTTTCCCTCTTTGCTCTCTCCCTTCCTCCCCCCTCTCTGAGGTGCTTATGCTCTGAAGTCTTGGAAGAAATGATTTAGTTTGTTTATACTGCTATAAAAATCAAGACCAATAGAAAAGTCATAAAATGAAGCGGGCTATCAATCACGCCGCAACATTGTTATTCAGTGGTTACTAACAGAGATGGATAATCCTTTGATTTTGTCCCATTGTTATTACTCTGATGTGTCTTCACATTAACTATTACACATTTATTTATCGACCTGAAAGATACAACAAAACAGAATATACGAGCGAGTGCGTGTGGGAGGATCCAGGGCTGCTGCTGCGGGGCCGGGACATGAACACACACACAGAGTCACACACACACACACACACACACACACACACACTGGTAGGCTCGAGGCCCGGTTCTCTTCTCGGGTGACCTCTTTCACTAAAGCAGCGGGGTTACTGAAGACTCTCATCTATGCTTGCAGGGTCCCGCCTTCCGGTTCCTCCTCTAGCCACTTGACCATACCTCTGCCAGGCTTTCAGGCCTGAACACCCAGAAAACCCCACCCTGGCGGTTCGAAACCCAGGTCCAACCCCAGGTACTTGAGCTCTTGTGCCAGGTCCTGAGCACAGAGCCCCGTTCAGTGTCCACTGAACTGTCCACTCCTGCTTCGCGCACCCGCTTGTCAAATTGGGGGGAGGGCGGTTATATAGAGAAAATCAAGCTGCTTTTATCAGATGGGGCTCAGTTTGCTTTAGGGCTTGTAATTTCCCTCCCAGGCAAAACCTTTCTGCATTTGACACCGGGTTAAGCTCCCAAGGCTCCCAGGGGTGCTGTAGTCGCCTGGGCCCCTCCTAGAGCGCGCGCGTCTCGGGCTTCCGCGCCCAGCTCGTGTTAGGCCGCGTTAGTACTCTCCGCTGCTGCTGCAGCCCCGCCAGGTCCGGAGCTCCCCGGTGAGCGGTGTCCAGAGCTTGGAGACACCGACAAAACCAAGACCCTGCACTCACAAGCGTGTGTGCACCAGTGAGGACTCGCGCGTTC